TTGAAAGCAGTTAATGTGCGTCAAAATTAAAACAAAAGTGTCAAAAAATCTCCAACCCAAAAAACCTACACAAAATCCCGGTGGATTCGGTGCATCACCGGTTTCAAACAATTGATCATTCCGGTCCGGTTTGGTGAGGTGAGTTAACTAATAGCGATTTCCATTTGTCGAACCAGTGCATAAAAAATGTATCCATATCCTTACATGTTACATGCTTTTAGAAAAAGATGAGGATACACTCAATGCGCACTGATTGACAAATGGAAATCGCCATAATAAACCGGTATCGCACCGGTTCAGAAACCGGTGAATTTTGGAAAGTGCCCAATAACATTTGTGGAGTGGGTTCGAAATCAGTCTGGGCGTCACACCGAGTGCACACCAGCCGTTCGAAAATGAATTGGTATAAACTCCGACTTTCACGCTAGTTCGGATTTGTTACACACAGGCCTTATGAGGATAGGCCATCCTGTAGTAGTAGTAGTTGTATTCCTTTCGAAAGTTCAAAACACCAGAGCTACTCGTTCCGGTGCTACTCGACCACGATTTGAAAGGAACAGATGCGCTGGCTTTCATGTATTCAAATGGTTTGAGTAGGGCTTGAGCACTCAGGTGCAACTTTAACGTACTTTTCGAGAGGAATAGCGCGTAGCGCTACGGCGCTGTTCCGGAGCTCCTCCCCGGTGTGAAAGGGATACAACTAGTGTGTATCATCCCACGAGTAGTTATACCCGGGATATCCAAACGCGTTCCAAAACTACCGAGGTAAAGTTAGGGAGTGTTCATAAATTCATTCGGCGATCACGACGGGCGCTCTAAAATCACTTATCGGTAATTTTAAAGCTCTCCGGTGAACTTGTTTTTCGTTGTTGAAACCCAGTTATGAAGTCTCTGCTCTTCTATCAATCACGGTTTCCAAATGGAATTCTAAGTTTCTACAATTTTCCAGATATTAGCTGCTTACGATCAAGCACTTTTCTTACCTAAGTTAAAGTTAGTTTCTTAGCTGAGCTAAGTTGTTTGATCGTACGCGCAATTCATATAGGCTGATCAGCTGCCTATCAAGTTACGACTCACGTCACGTATTTCTAGTTCGGGTTCTAGTTACGACGAGAGTTTCAGGTTCAGTTTGTTGTTTTTATTATTTTATAATCAATTGAAATTGAAACTGAATTGTTTTTGTACTACAGCACAGTTTATTTCACATTAAAAATGAACAATTATCTACCTAGAAGTGTCATGACGCGTGCAATGGCAATAATGAATAATAAATTTCATTAAACTAAACACCTTTTCAAAGTTCCTGTGCCAACGACCAACTTTCAACAAAATAAAAATAAAGAAACAACCTCAATTTAGAAATTATTAAACGTCAAAATTCAAATAATGCGTACTTCGCGCCAACTTAGGTCAGCTCATCTCAGTTAAAAATCCGGGTGTCTTAGCAGGGGTAAGGGGGGAAGGCAGATTCTAACTTAGTTGTGATAGATCGTACGCGTAACTAAGTTAGATTCTTTAAGTTAGGTAAGAAAAGTGCTTGATCGTAAGCAGCTAATCTGTTTGTGAAATTGTTTTGAATAAAATCAGATTTTCGAAAATAAATTTTCGAAAATAGAAAATTCTTGACAGTGTATCGAACCAAGTTTTAGGTGTTTTGACGTTGAAACCAGTAATGAAGTCATTATTCTTGCATCACTCACGATTTCCAATGGAATTATATAATCCTAAGTTTCCAGATAATCCCGTTTGTGACCTTGTTTTTCGATGTCAAGACCAGTAATAAAATCACTATTCTTGTATTACTCACCGTTTCCAAATCGAATTCTATAAAAGTTATCAGAATTTACCAGTTTTTGTTTTTCTAAATTCAATATTAACCTACAAAGACTAGTACGCATTACGTGGACAGAATAGTTTGGGTTAGTTTGCATATTTTTGATTAGTTTCGTTATAGTTCGTTTTACTGGTTATAAGTGTACTGATTGACAACATAGCGCGTTTGGTTTTTTAAAATTCAATATCAACATACAAGGACTAGCACGCATTACGTAGACGGGTTAGTTTGGGTTAGTTTGCATATTTTTGGTTAGTTTAGCCGCGGTGTAATGGTAAAATAGGACTAGGGTTTCTTTTATAAAATTGTGAATATTCGCTGACTACGGCAAAAAACGTTAATATCCGCACTTAAATTGATATAAAAACAACTGTATAAAGGATATATCAACTAATTTTTATAGAAAATTTGTTAATTTTTGTTGCACTAAGCGTTTTACACCCAATCCTATTTGTGAACTTGTTTTTCGATGGCGAATCTTATAAGGTCACTTAAAATGTCCTCTTCTTCCGCAGCGAAAACATTTGATGTCCCGATGAAGAAAAAATGGAAATATGTAATGCGTTTAATATTCAAAATAACAATCATCTTTTAAACGCAAAAACCGCATACAGCCTGGGATGCCAGTTAAAAATAAAGCCATTTTTCGGCGTGCTTCTATGGAGGAACCAGTAGCACTGCTTTTTTGGTTCTTTAAAGCGTTCTATGAAGGATGCCAGAGCCAGTAGGATATTTGGAAAAATCAATACATGCCATGCGATTACAAACAGCAAAAGAAGCTCCAGTCACCTTCTCGTCCACCTTAGCAACATGGTAAGTAGGTACTCAAACTTTGGAGACTCGAAGATTTACTTTGTTCGCAAGTCGATAAATCAACGCAGATCAGCTTTATTGCACCTAAATATCACCAAGTTTGTCTTGGCAAAGTTGCGAAAAGAACCATTAGAATCCCACCACTTCTACCCAACTCCCTGATCCGTCATTATCGATTTCTCCAAATTCTTTGCACTGAAGTCGTGCCAAAGAAGTGTCGTGTCATCAGCACACATGGATACCAGAAATACTAACCCTTGGAAAATTGTTACATAAGTAAAGAACAAAGAAGGTTAAAGTACAGAGCCCTGGGGTATGAGATATGTCCGCTGTGCGACCGTTTAATACCCTTACAACTGCGCGCATTGCGACGCTAGCCATTCAAGACTAAAAACTTCCCAAGCCCATGCACCTTACTCTGCGGGCTTGCGCAACCGTACCCCCATTATCCACGCGTTTGATGATCACATATCACAAACTCCAGCCGCTGCCGTCTCTCTGTCATCAAGTTCATGATAAAGTTTTTCACCTGAGAAAATATTGTGTGGAGTCAATCAACTTTTCCATAGAAACCCTAACTCACTGAAATTTTGCATACTTTCAACTTTTTCCAAATGGGATGCACTATATTTGATTCTATATTCTTGAAGAGCACAATTTTCCCATTCCAAAAATATATAGTTTCTCTTAGTATATTAGGTTGACCCGTCCCCAACATATTTGGCTCTAAAAATTGGAAAAATACTATCCTACTGACTCAGATTTTGTGAACCATTCTACTTGGTAAACTGTAAAGGTGAAAGAGAAAGCTGGAGGTAAAATTTGAGACACTAGGTTTCTCTGATAATATTTGTGAAATTTTTAGAGCCAAATATGTTGGAGACGACTCAACCGAGAACTGTGCTCTTCAAGAATATAGAACCAAATATAGTACGCAAAATTTCAAATTTAGTTAAAACTGCACTGCAACTTTTATATTTGAACCTATCGTCTACCTGTGAAGGTGCAGGCTCAGGCTGCCGGTGAGGCAGTGGCGCAACTACAGGGGGGCCTGGGGGGGGGGCCGGGCCCCCCTCAGACGTCGCTAGCCCCACCCCCCCCCCCCCAGAAAAAACTTTCATAAATTGGTATTTTATGAAAGCTACATTAGGAACCTATTATAATTTGATCTTATTACCTACTAAATTTTAACGGTAATGCGCGGCGATCCCGATCGACCCGATCCGATCCTCCGATCCACCAACGAACAGGCCATTGTGCCACCCAAAGGCCAGTGCAAATTGCAATGTGCAGAAGTGATACACTATACCAAAGCTATTAAATTAGCATTAGCAATATAACATATTAGTTTGGGAGTTTGACTAAATATTTTTCCTGTGAATCCGTGAATCGGTGTTGCTGATATATACTATATAGTGGCTGATGAGCTGGGTTAGCTAGGTAAGTGATTTAAGCCCGGTTTAGTCAGCTAATCGCCTATAATTGCACTGTTCTACTTTTTTAAAGATTCCAATAAGTCGCAATAACAGGCCCTAGGCCACTGGCCCCAACTACATGGGAGCATTAGGGCAGGTGCTCCCATGAGCTCTCATGAGTACTTGGAGCTCTTGTAGGGAATGCGAAAGTACAAACGTATTTGATGGTCATTCCGTTCCAGATTAGGAAGGTATTAGTATTCTGTCCTTTCGTTAGTTGTGGTCATTTCTATGCTCTATTACTTTATATTGCTAATGTTGCTATTCTCTATCTCTATTCTTTGATAATAATCGGGACATTATAAAGCATTTTAGGACATAAAAGTACCAGGCATAATTATTTTGATAATGATGTGATATTTTCATGGCCTAAAATGCATGTAGAAAAAAGCACTTTTTGCACGCTCGTAGAAAAAAATATAAAAATATATACACTATAAAATAGACGTTTTTAGGCGTGGCATCCGGAAAAAAAAATTCGCCTCCGCCGGCGCCTACGGTGAGCTTACCCCTCTCCTATAAACAAATTTATAAAAATATTATCCTGCACCTACGAGGACTTTCAAAAATCGGCGCCCCTGCCAGGCCCACCCTAGCCCCCCCCCCCAGGTCAGATGGCTAGTTACGCCAGTGCGGTGAGGTGTCAATAGATCGGGAAACACCTTATACAGTCGTGAGCATTAGAAATGGGACACCCGATTTTTCCTATTGTGAAACGGGCTCACCAGCTACACCGCCAACAATCTTTGATTTACTGGTGATGTCAGCTGAGTATGTTAAAGCAAAAGTTGTGTAACACTAATTTGTTTTTGTTTGCACTAAGTTATTTTAACATATCAAATTTACTTTAAATTAATGGATAAATGAATAAATATAACTGAAAGTAAACCATTTATTCAATAACAAGCTTATAAAATCTAATAAAATAAACGTTAAAGAAAAGAAAATATTAAAAAGTTCAAACCGTTGTCTCATAGATAGATACCTAACAGCTTTTTCTGAAACAAATTTTATATAAATATCTTACAAAATTATATCATAAGCATATTACATTATTACCTCTGTTTTTGGCAAACTACTTTTCGAGAAAACGGATTAATTACTAAGCATGGCCTTTTAGATGGGAAAGTTTCATTTTCTGTCGACTTGTTTTTCTTTCTTGAAGCTTCAGCTGTTTGGCATGTTGAATTGATTTCCATTGGCTTCTTTTTATCATCATCATCATCATCATCAATTACTATGACAAGTTCATTTTTTTCACTGTTGTTGAGGGTTTTTTGGGCATCTTTTCGAACACTATAATGAATATACAGTTTTAGATATAATATTTTTTTCAGATTGGATGAAATACCTTGTTTTAACAGTATCCTTTTCTGACAATGAATTGTAATTTTCCTTCGAATTTCTAACAGTTGGACTGGCTTTTGTTTTATTAGTGCCTGCATTACTTACTAAAGTAATTTGACAATTACTTTTTCTCTCCCTATAATGAAATGAGAATTAGTTTAAATAATATTCCTTTAAAAGTGAAAGTTGCCGTTGAAAAAAAAACAATTCACAAGAAAGGTTATTATTGCTAGAACAGTCACTAGTTAATATTGAAGGAGACATGGAAATAGGGAAGTTTAGTAGTCATGACATTTGTGCCCATGGTAAAAAAGCCCAAGTAAAAATACTATCTTGAGACAAGATTTGCGAAGCCTTCGAAGTGGAGAAGTCAGAAACAATCCAATGGAAGAGCGCCCCAATTTTATTTTAAATTACCAGTTTTGAAATTCAAATTCCAAATCATGTTAAAATTTAAAAATAAACTTCTGGTTGTCCGAAAAATCAAAATAAATGTTGGTAAAGAATAGGATCCACATCAGCAGATGTGTTAAAAAATGAAGTATCAATATTTCTACCTGTTAATAATATAGTGATTGCACAGCATACTTATACAAAAACAATCAGCAGGTTAACTCTCACTCGCATCTTTTCTGCACACTCCTCCATTCGAGGATAGAGCCTAGGATTAAACGGCAGGGGCTTGAGATTTGTCGCGCATCTTTTCGGCGCCCGATGCCATTCTAGGATACAAAGCTCGAGACGAGTTAGCCTGCTGATTGTGCTTGTATATGCTGTGGTGATTGCGAGTCTGAGTAATGAGAGAAGGAACAAAACAGCTCAATCAGTATTGATTATCGAACTATCATTTATGGACTCATTTTTAGGCGCCTATTCACTTGACAGCACTTGTCGATCAGCAAAGACCTAACAGCGAATCATCCTTTGTGGCGTTTCTCAAATGAATGCATTGATATCATTTCGTCAATAAAGCCTGACTGCCTAGTTCAAGCAAATAATTACCTTGTGATCCATCCATCCTCATTCTTCACAAACATTTGTTTTGCATCCATTGGATATGAATTATTTTGACACGCACTGGAAATTCTCGAATTTATGGGCTCCAGATCGCAGTTTGGATTATCGTCTGAGTTGTCTGAAATTACTTATTTAGAAATAACTACTATAGTGATACTCTATGACTTTACAGCTTTTTTATAGCATGCATAATTTTGGGAATTTTTGTGTTTTATTTACATTTTAGGGTAGTTTTGTGATATTGCTTGGACGTTCTTTTCGTCAAATTGTTATCTACATTGCCGTGTTAATGATTATTGATTAATTAATTTTTTTTTACTTTCGCGTTCATACTTTGACAATTTTTTTTTCTTGGATAATAAAGTAGGTAAAATTGACTAACTTAACTGCCCCGCTATATAAACACAGTCGTTTTTCTCCAACTACTGTTCAAAAAAGTTTTCTACTCTAGATGTCAGTAAATGAAAAATTTTAGTGCCTGTAAGTATATTGTATTGTATTTGTATTTATATTATTCCATTTTTACTACCCAGGACTGAACTTAATCATTGAAATATGTTATTCACCAAAAATCGGAGAAAAATGTAATCTTTTTCAGTTTTTAAATAATTTTTTTCTTACCTATACTGCTGTCATTATTATTTTTCACGTTTATTGGAAACACATTTAATGTAGCCCGTAGGACGGCTGTATATATATCCATAACAGAGAATGTTTTAAATATCTTCAGCTTTTGCTCTTTCATTAAACTTGAGAATGAATTCATTAATTCAGGTATTTCACCATTGGAATTATGAATAACTGCAATAAATATTTTTATACCATAATTTATACGTTCCAAAAATATTTCTTTATCCCGAGTATACATGATAGCATGACCACCTAAAAAAAAGATAACCAATAAGCATTTGCGTCTCAATGAACATTTGAATGAACACCAAGCTACCTATTTCTCATTAACCACGAATATCAGCTCATCAAATTATTATGCATTCAGTTCACCATGGACATTTCAAGGAACCTCTCACAATATTCGTGATAATTAAGAAATGTAAATTTTGTTCTATTATGCACAGAAAATTCTTTTGAAAAAACATAGTGACTCAAAGAGTAGAACGGTTATTGTCTAAAACACCAAAAAAATTGCTGTGACAAACTTGTGAGACTAAAATTAAAATATGAAAATACTGTTAATTCCAAAGTAAATTTCACTTTTGGTAATGATAATGATTTTTTTTTTCAGTACATCAGGGTTGAAAAAAAACAATTTTTTTTTTAAAAAAAAAAACATAAAAACATGTTTTTTTTGTGGTTTTTAGTGTTTTTTTTTGTTTTAAATTGTTCAAAAGTCCTAAGAAAAAAAACATGTTTAAAACACGTTTAAAACATGTTTAAAACACCTCTGCTACTACAATCATGCTGCCTGTCACTCTAAAGCTTCTTCATGATTAAGCAGATCAAGTATATGAGTGAATAATTTAATTTGAATTATTACCTTGCCCATTGGGTGGTGTTCTTCGTTGTAGGCCTGCCGTTGAGGGCAATATGTTTTATTATAAGAAATTGAAATGTCTATTTTAAAACTGAACCTAAGTCTTTGTGTTAATCTTAATCTTAACCAAAGAGGATTGATTTTTTATTTTAGTTTATTTTTTATTTGCATAGCATATTTGTTTATGCTTACTTGTTGTTTTTTTTTTTCAAATTTCACAATAAATTTTAAGCTTCATGCCAAATAAATCGATATTACCTAATTAATAACTGTTGTTAAACTTTGGAAATAAAAATGTGAAAATGCAAAGCCAAAGCAGAAGTAATCAAATAAGCAATTAACCCTTGAATTAACCCATTAAAAAAAAAACACTGTTTAAAACATGTTTTAAACTGTTTAAAACAAATGTGTTTAAAACACTATACTCTGTTTAAAACAAATGTTTAAATCATTTTGTTTTAAACATAACAACCCTGCAGTACATGCGTTATCGCTGAATGTGTTTCAACTTCATAATTTTCTAAGCGACAAAAACTTTCCTGTTAAGTGCCGCAGGTACCATATGTTTTTTTTCTCATCAGCATACATATACGCGCATATAATTGAGGTGTAATTGAAATTGGACAATTTATTTTTGAGAAGAAAAATAACGTCAGCTGAAAAAATATGCCACAAATAACAACGATACTCAAAGGACAGCTTTTCATACACGTTATTATTATAAACTATGCACTTTTAGTCGCCAGAGAACTGATGTTTCAATGACAAAGCTAAAAACAAAAATAACCATATAAAGGAAGTGAAATTTTATTATCAAGCTGGGCCAATGACTCCTTTTTATGATTTTATGATGGCGCTGCTCCCGCACAGCGATTATTAAGCAATACCACAAATAAATGAAGAGAAGTAAGTGTATCTAGTGCCCCTAGCCTCTCACCTCGCTGCATTTCCAGGAACAAAATGATCTATTTTTAGCAGGCAGCTGCCTGAAACGGGGTATGGATTTGCCCGGGCCATCAGTCACTGCGAACAAATTTGTGTTGCTGGAAACAGTGCAATTATGAATAAAGATCTTTTAATTAGTGAAGTTTATCGAAATCCGCCAATTTGGGATCAGCGACTTAAGTCGCATTATAATAGATATGTAATGGATAAGTGTTGGGCAGCGGTTGCAACTAATTGCAAAGTAACCGGTGAGTAATTGTTAACATATAATCATAATTGTAAAAATACTGAAGATATTCATTTATTCTGAGAATGTACAGTATCTATGTTGTAAAAGGGAAATTTCCCTTGAAACCAGATTAAATTTATAACCGATTTCTTCTAAAAAAATGTCAAAAATAGGTTTACACTATTTTATTTTTTAACATAAAGTCATTTTTGCATATCACAGACCCTAGATAATTAGTTTATTGCACCATAGGTATACTGTAATTATATCCAATTTCTCAGGAAGTATCCCGAGGTTGACTGCCGACCACTCCGATCGGAGTGTCCTGGCATCAATCGGCTACGCCAACTACTCCGATCAGATTGTTGTGTATTCCTAGTTTGTGAGTCTATATTCAGTAGGCGTTGGCGAGAGAATATCGCAGCCGCTCCGGCGTCCTTCTAAATACATTTGTCCAGCACGTGTTTCAGTTGGTTACGCGTTTTTTTATTTTTTTAATCGCTAAACATGGATACCACACAAAACGAATAAAACTTAACGGCGTCCGAGAATGCCTCAAAAAAATGGTCGCCAATCAACCTGTTAAAAGGCATTTGTCCTGAAACAGACTCCACTGATTCGCGGTTTCTTTCTCGCTGCTCTAATATCAGGAAATATTGTACTATCCGTTGGTGCGTCACTGTCATTGTTATTTATTATGTTTTCTCTGTCAATTATGGTACATATTATGAAGAAGAATAGATTCTACATTTCATTGTTAAAATTCCAAAGCTGCATCGACAATTATTGGCTTCGCTTATTGCTTGTAGATGAAAAACATTGATCCCGGCCGTGCAGGACACTTTACTCGAATGTGCTTTCCGTCAATTGCACTAATTAATGCAGTGTGGAAACTGCCATTTTTTATTGAAATTATTTGCTATGTTCTTGAAAGTTTCTTGGGTAGGTAGCTTTATATGTAAAGGTTGCCAACAGTCCCATAATAAGTTAGTTACCCTGTTGTTCTGCCCCCAACCGAAACGAAAACGCGAGGCTTTTAAATGAGTTTCCAGTAGCTAAGAACTTATTATTCAATCAATTTTATGTAATTATGTACCTAATTATTTTAAATTATATTACTTTATCATCAAGTATTTTATTTTCTAGCTGCAGCAGCTAGGAAGACTTGGACGATACTGAGAAAGCAGTTTAAACGACATTTTGATAAACTGCCGGTTTCCCGTTCTGGAGGCGAACCACCTGAAAATAATGTGAAATGGCAATATTTCAAAAGTTTATTGTTTTTGAAAGAAATTTTTGAAAAAAGACCTGCAACTGTGAATTTGAGCGATGCTGACAATGATATATCGGTAGCTCCTACGCCGTCTTCCTTTACATCAAGTGCTGGGTGTTCTTCTGAAGCTACCAGTCATATTCCCTCCTCTTCAATTAAAGTATTACTCGATGCAAGGAGGGCTGATAATCTAGGGTACAGAAAACATTCACGTCGGATTCAGATCGTGGGAAAAAATTTAATGGGTATAGAAAAAGGGCAAATTGAAATGATAAAGGCAAAAGTCGTCTCGAATACAGATCTCAATGATGAAGATGCAGCCTTCTTTGCTTCTCTATTGCCTCACATCAAAAAATTATCACCTGCTAAGAAGTTAGAATTTAGAACAAGGATTCAAAGATTAGTTGTAGAAAGCGTTTATAAGGTGAAAATAGAATAGAGTAGAGACATTTCAAATTTAACATTACTCTCTAGAGAACCTTCATTTCCCATGGCGTCATTTCCTAAAACACATTCTCTAGAAAGGTCCAACTTTGATTATACGACTTTTGATTACGACTATATTTCTTCAAATCACAAAACACTAAAACTCAATTCACTTATGACTTATTGAAATTGAAACGTACCCGACAAGTATTGAATTAAAACTGAATCCCATTTAATACTACTACATGCTATTTATAGCAGACATTGTACTCGGGATTTACCTATACATATAATGGAATTCCCAGAAAGACGCGCTGCCTGACGTAAACAATAATTTTCTCAGAACCCTGGCGCCGGGCTGTCGATGCATTGTTGTGCTATTTCGCTATATATTTCATAACGGCGAGTGTCCATTCACGGCGTTGTGAGCGTCAATGAACGTCAAGCAGCGCGGCGAGATTAACTACTTCACTGTGTTTTTACACCTATTGAAAAAAACTCAAAATTATTTGTTTGTAGTATTAAAAATAGAACTTAAAGTATTCAATTGGAAAATGAATAGGAGGAATGAGAGGAACATGTTGAAAATTAAATTGAATAAAAAATCACAGAAAAAACAACTGGATAAGAAAGCAAGGAACTCTGAATTGAAGAATAGGAAAGTTGAACATATTCGGAGAGCCATGGACAGAGAATTAGAATAAACTGAAAGAAATAATGCTTGGAGAAAAGTTGAAATATCAAAAAATTCATGCAGCCACCGTTGGAATGGAAGATTAAATTGAAAATAGATGTGATGTAAGGCACCCTGGGTCGTGAGAGGGTATCCACAAAAGAACTTATTTTATTGTGATAAGATGTAGGTACGCACCAGTGAAAAAAATTGAACCTTGAGGATTCTGCTCTCAGTTAAAAACTAAAAGAGGAAGTTAATAAGTTTATCTAGCGGCTGGGAGAGGCGTATTATTAGACTAAGAGCCGGTTTATTCACCTTCTGATAAACTGTCAGGCAGGCAATCTGACGGATAAAAACGCAAGCTGTAATCCCATTGGTCGGTCAGTTATTCGCTGACCAATGGAATTATAGAACGATAAATTTATTTTGCAGATAGTTACCAGTTATAAGTTTATCTGAAGATTAATAAATCACTTTATGGATTAAAGCAAGCACAAAATTGTTCGAATGAAGAACTCAATAAATGTTCAATTGACATGGGTTTCAGAAGATAGGATAGTCATAATTGTTTGTATATTAAAGGCATTGAGATCGAAGACTTTGTGAAGAAAGTTTTTAAAAATGATCTAAACTGATAATAAGAAAAATTATTTGAACAAAAAGGAAAATCTAGAAGTCTTATATTTTATTTATTCCTTTTTGTTAACATTCGTTCCCAATACATAGGTATATTAATGAGAAAAAAAACAGGTTTAAAAGAGATTCACACGATAAGAAAGGTATTCAGATATGACATGTCCTTTAATTTTGTTGTTTCTAGAAAATAACAATATCCTTTGCATTTGGTACGTTTCAACTTGTTCATTGTGTTTCTATTTAGGTTTAAATATATTCTGTGGAAAGTCGTTAGGTTTAGATTAGCTTAGTTTGTCTTGTAAGACGGCATAATTATTGCTTACTTTGTTTATAATAGAAATGTATGAATTGCGCCCTGTAGGTTCTAGCTTCAAATTTTTGCATATTTTTTCACCCTAAGTAATTATTTCCGTTATTTTCAGTTTATAATATATAGGTATTCATGTAGTATAAAAGCTATAAAACATAAACTCGTGTTGCTCATAACTTTCTTCCGCATACTAGATAAATATAAAAATAATTTTAATCTGTGTCTTCTCTTTTAAAGTTGCACCTAATTAATTTATTCTGTGTATTTTCTTTTAAAGTTGCACCTAATTAACGTATGTCGGTATTTGTTTTTATTTTGAATAATGTAGAACTGTCCAAAATAATAAATTTTATGTAAATGTTTTTTAGAAAAATGTTTGTGTGATGATGGTTAATAAAACCGAAACATAGCAAATTACAAACTAGTGTTTTCATTGCATGACCGATTCCCAGGATAAAAAAAAAGATTTAAATAAAACATAAAACCACATTAGCACGATAATACGCACAGTTCAGTAGACCCACATTATTGTGGTTTTAGTGCAATTAAAACACATCAACTTGAGCCTACCAGACTAGACTACAAAAGATTTTCAAGTCTCATTTTTAAATTGCTTGCTTGAATAATGAAACCTCATAACTTAAAAGGTTAATGATTTCTTACATATTAAGCTCAATTTATAAACTTGCCGTCCGGATTCCGTTTGCGTTTGCGTCGTCCTCGCTGGTTACCGTTGTCTCTATGCTGACAGCAAACTGTGAGGCCGACGGCGAGTATAAACGATCTTATGGGAATTCTAACATTCAATTGGTAACGGCGTGCTCGACGCAAACGCAAACGGAATCTCGACGGCGAGTTTATAAATTGGGCTTTATTGTTACCTACCACATTTTGTAATAATGGAACAAAGCTTCTTTTCACACGCCTTATTGAAAAATACACAGATCACATCTTCAAATAAATATCTTCTTGAAACTCTGGGTATATCTTCGATACCTTTATAAACCAAATATTGATCTATTTCTGGCATATATCTATATAAATTTGGTAACAGTGGAGCTTCTTCAATGTTGGCTAATATATCTTCAAAATATTTTGGTGTTATCACAGTCTTTTTGTTTATAAGATATTTGAAAATTGATTGTTCTTCAAGCGAATCTAATGTTACTTTTTCTATTACATAATGTGAGCAGCATGCGTTGAATTTTTCAACAATTTTAATATTCAGGCATTTTAAAGTGTTTATCAAAGATGTTCTAATGCATTTTTGCATTTGTTTGTCCAGTTGAACCTCAAATGTGTCATTAAGAAACCTAAAATGACTATTGAGGAAAGTAGATCAAAAATATTAAATAAATCCCTTACGCATATTTACAGGAAGTGTTAGCCCCAAATGTTACAACATCTCCATTACGTAATTTGAAAGGGCCCTTTATTTTTCGCCCATTCACCCTAGTGCCAAATTTTGTATCCAAATCTTCAATTGTGGCCTCATCATTCTGTGAAATAAACTCCATAAAATAGAAGCTAAGACAAAATTTCAAAGGTGCCGGCCAATGTGTTTAACATTACATACCTATACAGGTTTGGCAAGTTAACATCTTACGGAATGCTGGAGGTGACAGGGGAAGTCGTTCTCGTTCTGTATCGAACCTTCTAGACATTTCATTCTATTGCATTGAAATTGGCCCATAAGATGTTGACTTGCCAAACCTGTATTATAGTAAATTATTAACTTACCGCCCAGGATAAGATGCATAGGCAGAAAATTCTAAAGATAGTTGTGATTTAGACCACGAAAAGAAAAACCGTTTTAAAAATTATTATTGTAGGTGTTTAACAGCCCAATATATGCTCATAGTTTTGAATAATATTGAAATAGAACTTAATGATTTGGTAACCAAAAATATCTCTTTTAATTTAAAGAATACACATTTTAATTAGCTTTAAATATACTGCAAGATTCTCCTATTGGTGTTCCTGAACTATCACAGTGGTATCCTGGGCGGAGAGTATTAACAATAGAAGGTATACATATACACTGATCAAAATCAAAAAGGAGCCACTTCTGAATATGTTCCAAGTTTTTAGCGGAAATATTTTATCATTTTATTTATTTATTTATTGAACATGTATCAACAGCATAGGCCAATTACAGATACAGCTTATGTCTACCCTGTAAAAAATAACAAAACATTACAGACCAGGGGATTATGGAATTTTTTGTTCCACCACCATTCCCTGATCGCAATGGTACATACACAAAAATAACAAAAGTTTATAAAGTACATACTTAATTAGAGGGGAAATAAATTAAAAAAGACAAACTAACAAATTATAAAACTATTCGATGGATCTCAGCTTATTTTCAACCAATTTCTTAAACTCACTCAAACTTGTTGCATCAATGTCGATTGCAGAAGCATACAAATTGAAGTAATGGCACATTCTGTAAATAGGCGAGCATTTGTAAAGATTTGTGCGAGGATAGGCTAGATAGAAAACATTAGAGCTTCGGGAGTTTACTCTATGTACTATGTATGGCAAATGGTAATTGGCTCAGAATGTCTGGACAATCTATGTTTCCCTTGAGTATACGAAACAATGTGCATAAAAATATCTTAATTCTTCTTTTACTAAGTGACACCCTGTCAAAGATTCCTAGGAGGTTGAGTACCTCCAGGTTAGAGCCTTGCGGTTTTATTTGAATTTAGGTCTGTTCCAACATGTCAATAACTGTCCCATGAGAGGTTTGGAAACCACTCTGTATACAAATTTTGGATTCTACATACAAACTTCAGGCTTTGTGCAGAATCGTGACGTTACATTGTTCGGTATCCTGCTGTGTTGCAACAAAGCTTATGTGGAAGCAAATTTACAAACTTTTAATTTTTTATCGAATAAGTAAACAAACCGTGATAAAAACAACCTTTTTGATTTCATATGGAACTGCGTGTCTGCTGGGAAAACAGACATTTTTCTTTTTAATGCAATAAAGAAATCATATTGAATTACTGAAGTGGCTCCTTTTTCGTTTCGATCAGTGTATTACATTTGTATAGCGACGATAGCAACCAATGGAAAAAAGTGGATAATTATAATTTAACATTTAATAAATGTAAATCCTACTTGAAATCATCGATTTGGTAAGTTTGCATTTCAAGGAGAGTTTCCGAAAAAATGCTCATCTAAAGTTTGAATAATCTAATTGCCAAACCATAATCGCAAACAGCAATTTTCTGTAATTTCAGAAGTAAAGTGTGTACAGGGTAATTTAATATAAATGTCACGCCCTCCTAATTTTTTCATTCGACGTTTTCGACAGAAAAGTCAAATACATAAGTTTTAAGAAATTGTCAAAAGACAGTTTTAAGCATACAGGGTGCGTCAAAAATGTGTAGCAAACCGAAGTTATATTTTCTCAAATGGAAAACCATGTATATCGTGCGCTTATTTGCAAGTCTCTTTCAACCTGATTATTACAACGATATACAGTTTGATATGTTTATCTTCAAAATTCTTAGGAAAATACGTGAAAACACCTTCCAAGGTCTCATGCTAAAGAAAGAAAAATTATATGTAGATACCTTTGGGCTCAATATAAACAGTTTATTGTTCAAATGTTTTTCATTAACTTTGAGGTTTATTTTATTCCGATAAATATTAGACATTAGTAAATTTGAACGCAAGTGTGAAATTTACCATTTTTCAAAAATTCAAACTGTTTTCTCTCTTTTGTATGAATTCGCGCCTTGATCTTCAAATGAACTGTTCAATAAAGGCCAGATTCTTTGTTTATGAAGTTCATATTCGGAAAATCATTTATTAGGTAATTAAGTTGAGTGAGTGTTTCATCTGCTTATTTAATTTTATATTTTCCTTATTATCATTATTATATTATGTATGTTATTTTGGGTATATGTGTTATCTCGTTATCTCAAAAACTCTGAAGACACCTTTTAAAAAAAACACTACAAAATTTATTTTAAAATTATAATGGGCATACTAATATCTAACCTAATAATGGAGCATTGAACTAAAAAGACAAAGGGTCTTTTATGTTTAAAAATGTGTCGATGTTCCCGCTTTTATGGGAGCGTTGCCACGATGGAGTGACCCTGAAATGACACGTTCAGACGTTATAACTCCTCCGTTTGGGAATTGTGGCCTGCTTTTAATGACTGTGAAATTGAGTCGCGTCTGGAGGTCGTTGTAATCGTAAAAAAACACATACATATGCTATTTCTAAAAAAACGGTCAAATAATTAAACTTTTAGGTTCGAAAGAAGTGAATAAGTATTTATTCTAATACACCACTGGTAAAATATCTTGAGTAAATTAGCTTGTTTTCCTTGTTACTATTATTTTAAATACTGATTGTAGAATGGTAGGTGTCTTTAGTTTATTTTTGAAGCGGTTGAAAAACAGAATATAATATTTATATTTAGGTAATTTCTCGAGTAATTTAGATATTAGATTCTATTGTTCAATTATTATTAATTTATTTCTAGGTATGTCTGGAAATGAATGGTGGTCATTTGAATAATAAAATGTTTATATTAAATTATTCTCTCCCAAGCTTAAAATAATGGTATAATTTTTCTTTTTTCAACATGAGACCTTGGAAGGGGTTTCACTTCTTTCCATATAACTATTGAAGATAAACATATCAAACCGTATATTGTTGAAATCCGGTTGAAGAGGACTAATATATAAGCGCACAATATACAAAATGTTCCATTTAAAAAAAATATAGTTTCGCTCTGCTACACTCTTTTGAAAAACTGACTTAGTTAAAAACTTTTCACAATTTCTTAAAACTTTTGTAGTTGACAAAAACGTCAAATGAACAAGTTAGGAGGGGGTGACATTCATGATAATAGATCACCCTGTACTTGGGACTAACTTCAATTCCCAGGGAAATAATGAGTCAAGTTAGTTTCAGTCCCTTATTGAAGGTGCTTAAATACATACTTGTTAACGACTTTACTCGCAAGATTACAAAAAAACTTAGGCTTGGTTTATTCATCTTGAAATAAACTCAGTAGCAACTGTACAAGATAAATTTACCAATCTATAATCATATTGGTTGGCGGATAACTGGCTGACCAATAGGATTGTAGATTGCGTTTTTATCCGTCAGATTGAATTGCCTGACAGTTTATCGGAAAATGAATAAACCGGGTCTCGAGATTAGAAACTTACAGTTATTGTTAGTACAGCATGTATGTTATCAACAGTATTATATTGGACGATAATATGGTTCCTTCTACTCCGCCCAACCGCATATTCCATGTTGTGGCCCAAAACTAAAATGTCACCTACAAAATTGGAAATTCCAATAAATTTTGTTGCTTGGAACGTTTGACTGTATTGAGTTAGAAGGATTTTATATTTCTTACCTCTCTGGACATGTCGTAGTATAAAAACCATTTTGAAAAATATTTTAATTCATCAAGTAGGTAGGTAGGTAGGTAGGAACCTTGGTAGGTACCTATGTGTTTTTCTATAATAGATGATCCATCAAGTGGAAAGTAGATGGTGAAATTCTAAAATCTAAAAACATAATAAGAATTAATACTATTGGATTTTTTTTGTTATGTTATTATTTCATTATAATTATTGGCTATTGGTTCAAGTTAGGGTACCAATGACCTAAACACGATGGACAAAAAAGATGCAAGAAATGGAAATATCGAGGGAAATATTGAATTTGATGATAATACATGTCTATATGTACAGGGTGTTCATTTATATATTGACACCCTACCTGCAGCCTTTACAAGTAGAAGAAAGGTGTAAATACAAAAGTTGTACAGTTTTGGCTAAATTTTTAGAATCCATGGTCAGAAACAAAAATCGAATGTCAGGAATGTGAAATATTGCATGCCCTCAAATGAGATGCCCTATATTTGGTTCTATATTCTTGAACAGCACAATGCCCCGATTCCAAAAATATATAGCTTGTCTATATTTGGTTGAGCAATCCCTTAAATATTCGGCTGCAAAAATTGTAAAAATACTATCCTATTAACTGATTTTTTGAACCATTCAACCTGTACAGGTGAAAGCTGCAGGTAAAATTTGAGGTACTTGGTTTCTCTGATAGTATTTTTGGAACTTTTTGAACCAAAAATGTTGGAGACGGCTCAACTAAATATAGACAAACTATATATTTTCGGAATCGGGAAATTGTGCTCTTCAAGAATATAAAACCAAATATAGGGCATTTAAAAAGCTGGAAGCATGCAACATTTCACATTCCTGACATTCAATTTTTGTTTCTGTTCGTGGATTCTAAAAATTTAGCCAAAACTTTACAACTTTTGTATTTACACCTTTCTTCTACCTGTAAAGGTAAAGACTGTAGGTGGGGTGTCAATATATAAAAAAAAAACACCCTGTACATATATTCCCTTCGCTATCTTATTTGCAGCAATTTTATTTGTTTTTTGATCCTGGCTGGGACTATCAGTTACTGAACTCTATAGCTGTGAGACAGCAATACAATTTGTCTTGGACAACTGGAAAAATGCCTATGATAATGATAAATGCACCATAGCAGTTTTCCTAGATTAAGAGAGAGCATTTGAGACTATACATCGAGAGAAGTTGCTGCAGAAACTGGAAAGAATGGGTGTCACAGAGAAGGTTTTGGAATAGTTTAGGAGTTATTTGTATGACAGAATGCAAAGAGTTACGTAAAGTAAATGGAAAACTATCTCAATGTTCGATGAATGAATGTGGCGTACCTCAGGGAAGTGGGCTAGGGCCGTTGTTGTTTGTGTTGTATATTAAAGGGGGTGTGCGCCAAAAAAACAACTTCATCTCGAATAAAAGAGAAAAAAAATCTAACAATAACAGTGAAATCCGCACCCCTCTACGACAAATAATACCGCAGATATGGCTCTATGAAGGTACCGCATCTCATTCTATGACGTCACGAAAGCTCAAGCGACGCACGAGAAAGTGGAGTTAATTAAATTTACATATGTTTTAAATGTGTTACCTGCAATAATCTAAACAAAAACCACTCACGCGTGACGGGAACAATCAAATTAACAATGCGGAGCGCGGCTGGACGAAGTTCTCGTGACGTCACGAGAGCGTCGTCCACACTTTAAAGCGGTATATCTCACCGATGGTTTATCGTAGAATAACGAGGTTTGAACAGTTATTCTTAGATTTTTTTACACTAGAACTTTAATTTTTGGCGCACACCCCCTTTAATGACATTGTTAAAACTGACTAAATGAGACTGACATCAAAATACACTTGCTAGCTGATAATACCCTGGTTTATGACTCTTCGGATAACATTGAGTTGCTTATGCATGCAGGGTATTAATAGACCCCTAAAAAAATTGATATACCTATTGCAAGAACCTCTTAAATATTAACAAAAGGAAAACCAAATATACGATTATTGCAAAAGAAAGTGTCAAAAAAATCTTACTTGTAATAACTATTGAAATAGGAACTTACATTCTGGAAGAGGTCAATAAAATTAAGTACCTTGGTGTTTATACAAGACAATAAAATGTTTTTTAAAGATCACTGTAACCTAATAATTTCCAAAATTAGTCAAATAGCTTTTCTTTGTGGTCAAAGTTGGTAGTCTATAATACAATAGTTCTCCCACATTTTAATTATTGTAGAAAAAAATTACAAAAGGAATATTTACCAGATACCTGAACCGCTACCACTTTTTTTTACAACTTTTCATATTTAGCGGCTCATATCTGGAAAACGGTAACACTTAAGAGTGCGCTTCTCGATGCTGAAAATCGCGAGTGCGCCTTCGCTATTTTAATCAAAACAGTTGCATCTAGGAAATTTTAACTGATAACTTTTTTCAAGGATATGTTTATGTGCGTGTTTGACCAGTAAATTTTTTTTGATTTTTCTCATTTTATGAATTTTTTTTTTCAAAAAATGAGAAAAATCAAAAAAAAATTATTGGTCAAGCAAGCACAAAAGTACATTCTTAAAAACAGTTTTTGTTAGAATTCCCTAGATGCAACTGTTTTTATTAAAACAGCATAGTCGCGAACGCGAAATATCTATTTTTTCAGCATCGAGAAGCGCACTCTTAAGTATAAAGACAAATACATCATTCAAAAGGAAATTTCATTAGCTTTCATTTTACAAATCATAAAATTTTCTGTGGGACGCACCGAGATAAAAGCGAAAAACTTGAAAAAGTGACCTTTGGGTCGGTTCTCTCCCCCACCCCCCCGGGGCGCATGAAATCGACGGAATTTTATGAGACTTTCTTTAGGACATCATCCCCTACATATTCCTGAAAAAATTGGAAATTGGAACCACATCATTTAATGCATGATTCGCTGCTATTTTGAATTAGTTTGCTTGGACTATTATGTAGAAAATAGCAAATACCTACATTATGTAAAAGATCCAACTGGAAATTTATTATTGAAAAATGAAGAAATTTCCATATGCACAAAGTACAATCAGGCAAAGTGATTTTTACAAAATTGGGAACACATGACTGAAGTTGACCCAAAAATTATTATTCAAGCAAAAAAAAAAGGCTATATCCTGTTTAAATAGGTTATCCTATCAAGCACAGAAAAAAAATAGAAAAAAAAAGGAAAATCCTCGGGAAAATCATCACAAAAACCTTTAATTAGTCGGGGATCAGACTGCCGAAAAGACATCTCCTATACACATCGAACTGTGCACTCGAAGATATACGATTTAAAAAATATGTACAGGGTGGAGAATGACCTTGCGGATCTAAATCCGGAGGGCTCCATTAAATTCGTAATTGCAATTAAGAAAAAAAAAAATATTTTCCGACTATTTTGAATTATCGTAAAAAAGTTATTTTTTGTGTTTAACTCATGATTGTGACGCCATTTTTCAATATTTTTTCAAAATTCGTGAACCAATTGAAAGCCTAGTTATTGCAGATTTTACCTGCATGTGCAAAAAAACTATTTTTTTTTAAACTGAATTTGTCAGATTACGTAAAAGAAGGTGCGGTACCAAAACTGAAGTGAAATTTTCAGCATCGAGAAAATTTTTGAACAGTTGAAGATAAATATATGATCAATCGACGAAAAATGTGCCTAAAGAGGTGAGGAAGTTTTTGGTGAAAATAAATTTGCACTAGTGGTAAAGGTTTCCGAGATACGTTTTTTTTTGTGAAACGCTGATGCGCGCCGGCCGCTGCCGTTTCAACGGAGACCTACTCGGTCCGACCTATATACTTCAATAACTCGGTTATTTGATCACAACCTGTAGGAAATGGAAGAACTATTCAACTATTTATTCCGTTTTAATAATTATTTCGTTAAAGTAGGCAATGGATATGGACGAAATATAGGTAACCTCCTTCTCAAGAATATCGTCATGATTGCCGCTGGAATGGTAGAAAATACCTACACTACTTCGCTATCATCAATTTCAATTTATTAACAACAAACTTTAAGTAAAATCTAGTTTTTTATTCATCAAGTCAACATTATATAATGTTAGCAATACAATGTAACACAAATTTTTGACTTAAGGTTCTGTTTAAAAAAAAAGAAACAGACTTTTTAAATTATATGGTATAGGTACCTCAGCAAATACTTCTAAAATACTGCCTGTACTACACTTTTCCCATCACAATAAAGCTTGCACTAGAATATTTGCTATTATCGAATAATCCAATACTTGTCAAACCTACAGTACCGTCAAATAATAATAGAGTCGGCCGATACCGACATATTTGTTCTGTCTCTCTACTTTCTTACAAAGGTTATCCATTCAGGAATTATGGCTACACAAATTTGAAACCTAATACCTGATGGATTTGAGTAACGAAATAGAATAGGGTCGTTCAATGAAATTTCATTTGCACGGTTTTTCACATTTTCATGGAGTATTACTCACATATAGCACGTAGAAAACATTTCAGCTTAATTGGATAAATATTGAAAGAGTTACGCGTTTTTTAATATTAAAACACTTTTGCCTCGGAAATTCATTGCTGTGACGTCATAGCATCTCTCGAGTCGAGACCGGCTAAAGGCCGTCACACACGGTTTTGCATAACGCAATGTCAACTGATTTTCTACGACAGTTTGGCACACAGTTTGCGGAACTATGCAATATTTATAATTTTTCGTTTTGCATGCTACTTCCATAATTGTGCTCATAAAATATTGAAACTCAGGGAATTTTTCAAATATACGAAATGTGATTCGAAAGAAAAAAATCCAGTTCTACCAGAAACATGAAATGCCAACTTGTCTAAACGATGCCAAACCAAAACTTGTCAAAACAATGCCCGTATTGTCGAAGTGACTGGCGTACCAGCACCACAAGAACCAACGTGAGAGATGCGGTGACGTCGCCGCGTGTTTCAAATTTGGAGTATTTTGATAATTTATTTAAATATTTATTTATTTATTTATTTATTTACGGGAAAACCCCATTAACTGTTAAAATACAATTTAAGAAAAAATATAAAGAATAAAGCATAAGTTAGGTACTATATTATAACTATAACTACATAAATAATAAATATTATTTAACTACAAAAAT